CTTGAGAGAGCTTTTCTTTCTTTTTGATTTGAAGTTACATGGAGTTTGTACCCTCAAATATGATAATTATCTATTGTCTTGGTTCACATGATATTAATGTCTATAGCATTGGATTCTTTCGTTTATTGTTCTTCAGAGTCATAGATCTCATAAATATTGGTTTTTCTTTTCAATTCTTGAAAGAGGTCTTGCTTTATGATCTAGTCAACTTTAATCTATAGAATTAGATTTGTTTTTTCATTGAACTTAATTAGGTCCACATATTAGGCCAAATATCTTTCTATATTTTTCTACTGCATATAAAATACTTCTCAATACAAGGTTTATTCTTATCAATTTGATTTTTCAACTCAGGTTGCTATCATTTGGTATCAGAGACTACGCAAAATTGAATCTTGTTTAGTGCTTTGTAGAGACTGGAATAACTCCATCTTTTTTGCTCTTTTTTTGTTTGAAAATTTCGAGAAGCTCCCAAAACTTTGAAATTTCACTTTTCTCTTTTGTTCAAAATATGAAAGGAATTCAATATTCATGTATTTCACTTTTTTTCTTCTTTATCCACAAAATTTAGCTAGGAAAATTAAAGCTTGGATTATAGAACTTTAGTTTGGATTATCAATCTTGTTTTTCCATATCTCTAAATTCCATTCTAGAAGTTCTTAAGAAACATAAAACCTTGGAATTTTAGTTTTCTATCTTAGATCTATCTTGGTCTGGATATTTTGCAAGTAAAATCAAATCCTTAGAGTTTCAATTGTTTTGTGAGAAATGTGTTGTCCACGAAGTTATTCATGGAACATCAAATCCTTAGAGTTTCAATTGTGTGTTACTTGTGATTTCCGAAATTCTTCATATAGAGTCCTCAAAGTCTTCAAGTTCACTTGCTACTCTTGACATCAAAAGTCTTCAAGGATTAACCAAAACATTGGAGTTTTTAAGTCTCTTTTTTTCTCGATTTTTAAAAAAATCCACCCCAGTGGACCCCACTTAAATGTGGGTAAAACCCCCCTCCTCCCTACATACCATTGGTGGGAATTGAACCCGGGTCTAATACCAGGAAGTATAACGTACTAACCACTAGATTTTTATTTAAAATTCCCTTGGAGTTTTAAGTCTCTTTCTATTCTACTGGCTAAGTGATCCACCATACAAGGATTTATAGGTAAAGGACTTGCATAAGAAATTTATTTCTAACAGAGCTTGTTGATTTTTTGCAGCCACAGGTTGTACAAGAGCTAGAGTTTGAAAGCAATTCTTTTTCAAGAAAAGGATAGGAGAATATGGCAACCTTCAATCAATGGAGAGTTCACAATCTCTTCTACATATTAAGATATCCAGATGAATCAGGGAGTAGATTTGACTGTTAAAAATTTCTGGAATAAGTGCACCCCTTTAAAGTTTTTTTTTTATGGAAGCTTTACAATAAGATAGTGCCTCTGTCGGATGTTTTGCAAAAGATAGGATTTGATGCACAACCTTCTAGATGTCCTTTTTGTCTACAAGAAAGGGAAAGCATTGCCCATGTTTTCTATGAATGTCACTTATCAAGGCTGGTATGGAGTTAATTTTCAGATATTGTTGGAATATTTGTACCTTTTCATGCAAGTTTATGGAGTTATGTACAAGCTTGGAATTCAGTTGGAGATTCTAAATCTAAAAAGAAGATAATCCTTATCACTCCTGGATTAATCTTGTGGGAGCTATAAAAGAGTCGCAACAACATCAACTTTGAAGGTTCCCTATTTGCTCCAAATTTTGTGATTACTGAGATTAAAAATAATATGTCTATGACTCTTAGTGCACATGAGCTTCGTGCAAAATCAAAAGCAGAGATTCAAGAAACAAAGTATATATTTGGAGTGGCAGTCCTTGAACCGAAAAGGAAAAAGATTAGAGCATTAAGTTGGGAGCCGCCGGATCCAAGAAAATATATTCTTAACACAGATGGATCGTCTCTTGAAACTCCTGGGTCAGCTGGTTTGGGTTACGTGGTCAGAGGAAAACAAAGCAAATTTGTTAGAGCAAAATGCAAGCATATTGGCAACGCTTTCAGCACTGAAGTAGAATTCCAAGGAATACTACATGGTCTAAATGGTAAGCTGAGCAAGGGCTAAATGGAGTCACAGTTCAAATGGACAGCAAAGTGGTAGTTCAACTTAAGCAATGGTAAAAATTTTCCATGGAGTTATCATATAGAGTTGAGTGAAATTCATAGTATTCTATAAAGTCGAAATTTCTCCATCTGTCACATTTTTAGAGAAGTGAATGCACTAGCAAATGGACAATCAAAATAAGGATTAGCGGTGATTCATTGTTCATTGATAGTCCAAATGAACTTCCTATACATCTGAAAGGAATTTTGCACTTGGATCAACAATCTTATCCGTATATTAGAATCAGATAAGGATGTAAATTAGGGTAGAACTTATTTTTCAACCGGACATGCACCTGTTTAGGTACAGTGCCCAGTCACTCCCCCACACGTGTAGAGTAGACGCTTTGTCCAGCATAGCAAAATGGATCTGTGCGTCGGTCACTCTCCCTTGTGTGTATGGGTTGCTGACTTTGGTCTGGATCTTTCATCGTCTCTGTCCAACCGAATTCACATCCAGAGTTTTTGTTGTTCGATTCTAACCATCCACACATTCCTAGTCTGCAATTTTTTTTTTTTGGTGAAAGGTTAAATCTATTAATGAAATTCGCAATAAAGGCTCAATTGTCACCATTTAAAAACACCTCCTCTATCTACTACTGATTCTACACTATCTATTTACAACAAAATTATAGCATGCTTAGGCATACTAAGATACAATAGAATAGCCTTCTAGTATCCTCCTTTAAGCATTTGCCCAAAATCCTGATTCTTACTTCATATTGGGCTTGTTTTAGTAGCTCAGAACCCTGGCGAATAGCTTCTATAAACAATCTTCTATTCCGCTCCTCTCATATGTGGTAAATTCTTGCGTTAACTGCAGCCAAGAATATTCATCTCCTTAAACTGGCTCCCCTCCATACATGCATCAACTGACCCTGCCATCTTTCCATTCTCTGATCCAATCTCCTGTTCCCCAACTAGTTTTGAAGCAACTTCAGAACTGCAGAGGCAAAACTGCATTCAAAAGATAAGTGTTGTACTGATTCATCTGCTGAGGAACATAACAAGCATCTGCTATCAACCACAGTGACAGCCATAGCCTGTAGTCTATCCCTTGTCAACAATTTCTGCTTCCAGGCGAGCCAACTGATTAAGGCATGTTTAGGCATAGTCAATCCATTCCATACACATATGGCACCCTTCCACTTCTCACCTCGACCCTGAAGCCAGTCATAACCTGAACTGATAGACTATATACCATTTTCAGCAGCTTTCCACCGACTTCCATCAAATCCATCAATAGCAAGGTCCCTTGTTTTCAAGATCTGTTTCCAATGCAAACTTTTATCAATTTAGCATGCACAGTCCAAATTTTTTCCTTTTTTATATAAACCTCATGAACCCATTTTATCCATAAGCTGTCAGTCTTCTTCACCAAGCTCCAAACTTGTTTTATGATAACAGCTCTGTTCCAGAACTTAGCATCTCTAATACCCAATCAACCCTCTGACTTTTTCCGACAAACATCATCCCATTTAACTAGATGAACTGCTCGGCCACTACTTTTTGCCCCCCCCCCCCTCAACAAAAAGTCTCTACATATTCTATTTACAACATTTGCAACACTTTGAGGCAAAATAAACATAGAACTCCAATATGGGGGCAATAAAAGCAGGACAGAATTGATCAATTGCACTTTGCCAACATAGGACAGGTGCCTAGAACTCCAACATCGAATTCTGAGTGTCATCCTATTAATAATCTCTTGACATTCTAACTTAGACCATTTCTTAGGGGATAGGAAAATTCGAAGGTATTTCATAGGGAATGTACCTCCTTTAAAACATGTCAGATCACAAATGGCATGCTGCTGCTGTGAATTAACCCATCCAAAGTAAATTTTAGACTTCTGTGCACTGGCCTCCAAACCAGACACCTTAGAAAACTGCTCTGGTACCTCTTTAATGCCTGCAATAGTCCTCATATCGGCTTTATAGAAGACCATAAAGTCGTCTGCAAAGCAGATATTAGATATACTCAAAGAAGCACATAAGGGGTGAAACTTAAACCATGCTTGTTTGGTAATCCTTTTAAAACTGCGTGTTAGGTATTCCATGACAAGCACAAATAACAACGCGAGACTGGATCTCCTTGCCTAAGCCCTTGCTTTCCACGAAAAAACCCCGCAACTACCATTTAATGATAGAGAGTAAGATGTGGAGGTAACACAAGCCATGATCCAGTCCCGAAAAACCTCAGGAAACCCATATCCTTCTAGTACTTCTCCTACAAGCCCCCATTCAACCGAATCATAAGTTTTTTGGATATCGATTTTCATCAAAACCCTACCACTAACCCCTTTCCTCTCATAATGCCTAATAAGCTCGTGAGTAATCAAAATGTTGTGCAAAATGAGGCGGTTTTGCACAAAAGCACTTTGGTTCTCATCCACTAAGCGAGGCCACACAATTTTTAACCTATTACATAGCAATTTGGAAATACATTTGTACACACTATTGCAACATGCTATAGGTCTATCCGCGGATGCATTCACAGGGACATCAATTTTAGGAATCAAAACTAGGGTTGCGGAATTAAATTGCTTTAATACCTGGGCTTGTTGGAAAAACTCCATAACTGCATTGATCACATCTCATTCCACCACTTTCCAGGCCGTTTTGAAAAAGCCCGAACCATACCCATCTGGACCAGGGCTCTTGTTTGCATTAATGCCCCACATGGCCTCTTTGATCTCCTTCACAGTAACTGGCTGCATTAGTTTCAATTGCTGCTCCCCACTATTCTTCATTCCCTGTTCAAAAACCTCCGGATCAGCTGTTGACCTAGGAGCTGCCTTCCCTAACAATTGCTTATAATGCTCAATAAAATGACCTTCAATACCCTGCTAATCAGTGATCAGTCTCCCATTTTCATCAACAACCGACCATATTCTATTTCTCATAGTCCTAGCCTTGAGTTTGGAGTGAAAGAAAGAAAAATTTTCATCACTGTTAAGCAACCGCTCCTCCTTTGCCTTCTGCTTTACAAAGCTTAGAGATGCCTCGCTAGATCTGAGGAACTGTGCATACGCCTTCCTTTCCTGCTCTTGGACTGTCAAATCACTTGGGTTGGTTGCCAAGACCTCCTGCACGTGTTGCAACTCCAACTGATCCTTTTCAGCTTGAATCACAATATCAGCAAAGTGGTCTTTATTCAACTTCTTCAAGCATGGTTTCATCCTTTGCAACTTCATGTATAACTGATAATATAGGTACCTTTTATGGGGGATTTCTGACTCTGCTTCACCACATCAAGATAATGTGGTGACTGACTCCACATGTAAAAAAACCTGAACGACTTTCTTATACTTTGCACTTCTTCAGTTACCTTCACAAGCAATGGGGAATGATCCGATACTCCTTCCATTAAAACTTAACTGAAGACACTGAAAAACTGTCAATCCATTCCCCATTAACCATAGCTCTATCCAACTTGCAATAAATTCGATCATTTCCACTCTGCATATTACACCAAGTATACATTTTGCCCTGCTGCTTCAAATCCAATACCCCACATTCATCAACACATTTCTGGAATGCCTCAATGTCACCAATAGTGAGTGTTCTACCTCCCAGTTTCTCCTCTGATTTCAAAACATTATTAAAATCCCCCACTAGTATCCAAGGCTCAGTTATGTTCACAGACATTCGTATTAAGTCACCCCACAACTCCACTCTACCCTTTGCTACATTACTAGCATAAATGCCAGTTAACAAGAACTGACCGTCATCCTCTTTACTTCTTACTCTACAGTGTATATATTGAGTGGACTTAGCCAACTCAGACACTATCATGCTATCATCCCATAAAATAAGAACCCTTCCCTTTGAGTCCGATGCAATATTATACAACCATTGCCAATTCACCCATTGTTTCTTCATACACTCCTCCCCCCTTTTTGAGTTCATCTTAGTTTCGCGAATGCAAGCTAAATTCACCTTATACACCTGTATGACTCGTCTACGTTCATTTTTCTTTAAGAGGGCATTCAAACCCCTAATGTTCCATGCTAAGAGATTATGCATTGGTATATGGATCAGGATCAAGCATAGCCTCCCCTTCTTCCAACAGACCAATACTATGTATATCCCCAACAACAGTGTCAGCAGTAGCTTTTTTGACCAACCCTAATAAGGACTGATCAGCAGCTATCTCCTCGGTACCCATGTTACTGTGATTTCTGTTCAAAATACGTACTTGGTGTGGTTGAACTGTTCCTCTCTGCAACACACCCTCATCAATAGAGTTGGAACCTTTTTTGATTATCTTAATTTCTCGAGACTGATCAGCAGGCCCCTCCTTCGTAACCTTGATGGATTGTGTTTCAGTAAGCCCTTGCCTGTTAGCATCCTCCTTTCTTCCCACTGCCCTCCACTCTGGAGTCAGTTGAGGTATTAGTTTTTTCCTCTCTTCAGGCTTTGGAAAATTCCTTCTGCACCTCTCAGTCCTATGACCAAACCCATTACAAATTGAACACTTGGTGGGAGTCCACTCATATGTAATTCTCTGAACCCTCACATTCCCCCTCTCTCACAGGAACATTTTCATAAATCTCCATATCCACCAGAACTCGGGCATATTGAATTCTAGTTTTCAGAACTGTACATTCATCCACCATAATAGGACACCCAATGGCACTAGTTATACTCCCTAAAGTCTCTAAGTTCCAATAATTAACTTCTAGACCATGCAACTTTAACCAGACGGGGACTCTTTCCTTGTAATTTAGCCCTTTCTCTACCCCCCAAGGTTTGACAATCAAAGACTTAGAGCCAAAGTGGTAAAACAAGGTGCTCAATACTTCATCTCTATCCTAATATTGTATGAAATCGAACTACAAACAACCCAGTAGGGAGGAGAAGTACCTTATCTAGACCAAGATGACCCCAGATCTTTTTACAGTACGGCTCCATCATCCATAAGGGTGGATGAGCTCCAAGGACAAAGCATACGACCGAAGACTCCCAGTAAGCTTCCTCAATTTGCACCGTTTCCATTCTGACTTTAGCTACCTTCTGGCCATCTACTTCCATCGGCTCTAAGTATTGAATCTTCCCACCAGTCTTCCTTAGTTTTGATACATCAAGCTCCTCCCTGTTTGACACCATTCTCCCATTAATCTTACCAAGTTAGCGTCCTTCTCGCCTCTGTTTGGCGTTGCTGATGCTTGGCCTCATCCAATAGCTTGGTCGATTCATAACCCACACTTAATTTCTCTGTTGCCCCAATTTTGGTTTGCAATTTAGGGCTAGGGCTAACCATCTGATTATCTTTCGATCTCAATTCTCCCTTCTTGGATGAAGAACCCTCAATTTCTGCAACTAGACTATCTATATCCTCACTCTTCTGATCGATTTTCTTCTTTCCCACCTTCTGTCGTACCATGGCTGGCGCAGATTAATGAAAGACTATCATACGCTAAGAGAGAAGTGGGAGGAGAGAGAAACGCGGAGGTATGAATGTTTTCTATTAGCTTAATTCATCCAGTCTGCAATTTTATATCTCTTAATTTCATAATCGTCCCTTGTTTCTATCATCGATGCTGTAGCAATTAGAAATTCGCCATAGCATAGGCCTTTTTCCTTTTTTGCCCTCTCTCTCAGGTCACAAAGTGGTGGTCAAGGAAAGCAGACACCACAACCGTGTTGAAAGTCAGGTTTAATTTTGGTTCCTTTGTCCTCTGATTCTCTGCTAATAATCAGATTGGGTTTTGTCTCTCTGTTCCCATTATAGATTAGATAGTTCTTTTCCGAGAATTTGTATTTTCTTTGATCGTTTAGATTTAGTATGTTGTAATTGAAGTTGTGTTTGAGTTGTATGTAAGGTGTTTGTAAAATTTGCATTGAGAACGTAGTAAAACATTCCTATTATTAATATGAAAATTTCTTTATTCTTTGTCTTCTTTAAAAAGGGACCAAATGTTTTGCACCATACGTCCAAAATAATGATGCTCAACCTATAAGTTAAATGTTTGATTTTTCCCTTATAAGGTGCATTTACGTTAGTGTTTTGCTCAGTGGCTGTCAAATTTTATTTTTGATATTCTACATGTCTCAGTTTACTAGGTTATCTTGCCATTGATATACTAAGTAAAAAAAAGTCTATATTTGATTTGCATTTTAACAATACAAGCATCTATTGGTTTTTCATATGTTACAATTTTGATAATTTTATCAGATTTTTCCCTCTCCAGGGTTGCTCTTGGTATTAGTATCTTAACTCTGGTGTGAGAACTCTTTTTTAATAGGAAAAATTAGCCGTTGTGTTGGTTAATTGCAAACTTCAAGTTCGAGTGGCTTAGCACCAATGAGGTACACTCTTGGCACCAAAGCTTTGTAGGTAGAGAGGAGCTCTTTTAGGAGGAGCTTGGCATGTAATATGTGATTAGAACTTCAATTAGCTCCAGTTAGCTCTAAGAAGTGGTTCGACAACTGATAAATCATGTTAAAGTAGTTCTTTTGTGTTAATTTTGTACATGGAAGAAACTCCATTGTAAACTCTGTAAATGTTTTACATAATATGAAGCTGCCTCTGGGCTATCATTCACCTTAGGCTGCACAAAGTGCAGCACCAGAGCCAAGTGTAATGAACTAATAGAGTGATAAATGTCATGCATAGAAAGGAGAGTTTTTTTTGTTTGCTCATATTACATTACAACCATAATAGAAATCACAATCCCAATCGGAAGCCTATTTTTGTGCCGAGATTAATAACAATATAACTTTGATGAATCCCACCTACCATTAACTATTTAACTTGAACCTCACATACTCATAAACAGCTTTTAAGTTTTAATAAATGAATATTTGATGTATGTGAGATTAACAATTTAAATGTTGGAAAATGGCATGGAGAGAAATATATAATGCAAAAAAATTATGTGTCATATTTAACCTTTATCTTGTTGTATTTTACTATTAAAATTTTTATCCATCTTTTCCAAAAGTATATTTTTACCCTTAATCACTGTCTCTATTGTTGATTGATGAATTCCCATTTCAAACATATGGTCAACTATAGGGTATAACACGTTTTCTGTGATTCAAAAATTTGTTGGAATTTAAAACTTTAATTACATGGAAGTTGGACTAGTTAAAGGAATTTGAAAGGTGAAATTAGTAGTATTTGATGGAATGTAGACTATGTAGTGCATAATCTCTGAAGTGGCTAGAGGGAGACGAGGAGATACATATCATAAAATATTTTGAATTATTTCAAAAATAATTTGATTTATTTCAATTCATGATTTAATACCCATTAATAAGATAAAAGGTGAAAGTTACCTCACATTGAGCCAGTGACATTGGACTCGATTTCCATATTCTTCCATCGAAGAGGTAGACCTTTTCTTCTAAACAAACATAAAGAAGACTACGAAATTTATACCCGCGATAAGCAAGTTCATTGCAGATTGTAATTAAATCAAATCTCTGTGCACTAACTCTTGTAATTAATTGTTTTCTTAACATAAATAATATTGATGATCAATTATGTATTCTTATTCAAAATATTAAAAAGTTCGAAAAGGTTTTGTACCTGAAATTGACTGAGGAAGACTATTATTGTAGTTTTTGAGTAGTGTAGATCAGATGGTTCAAGTGATGGTGTTTATCCAAAATTTGAGTGTTGCATTCTTAAAAAAATCGGTGTTTATCCAAAATTGGTAAATCCAAAATTTGAGTTCTACATTCTTAAAAAAAAAAGAGTAAAAATCTACCACTTAAATAAACTTTACATCAAAAATTCTAATAATTGGTTATTTTGATTACATTATTTTAGTTCCGGTTAAATCATGAAAGAGAATTTGTTAATGATGTGCATTATGAATTTAACATTACCGAAAAGGAAAAGGCGTCCACAACTTTTTCAAACCAAATGTGACATTGCCTCCGATAGAGAATATAGTCTCTGATGGGCTTCTTTTGATTTCTGTTTGGCTAAATTATGTTCATGTTTGATCCCTTCTTCCTAGATATGTAGACTACAAAATTGCTATTGGGAACAATTTTCATCTTCTCATAAAATCATGTTTAGAAGAAAAAGGTTGGCTAATTTTTTAGCTTTTTTTTTTAAAAAAAAAGGAAGAAGAAAAAGAAAACTAATCATGTTCTCTTATGGCTCCCGTGTCCTTAGAGGAAGTTAAGGATGCGGTATTCAATTTAGATGATGATGCGGTGCCAGGAATTGATGGGTTTGGAGGGAGTTTTTATAGGAGTTGCTGGGATATTATCTCTCAAGACTTATGGAATGCTTGCCAAGAATTTTTTGCTGGAGTTCCATTGCCTAGATCGGTTTCAAGCACTTTGACTACACTCATTCTAAAGAAGATTTCGGTTAGTACTTTCTCTGATTATAGGCCAATCAGTTTATGCAACTTCTTGAATAAGGTTTTTACTAAAGTACTAACGGAGAGATTGAAGGTAGTGTTACGCAAGCTTATTTATGAGGAACAATCGGCTTTTCTGGAAGGCAGAGATATCATGGATAATGTGATGCTTGCTCAAGATCTATGTCAATTTCTCGGCTGCAAAGCTGTTGGTAGTAACATGGTTCTGAAGTTGGATATGATGAAAGCTTTTGATCGAGTTAAATGGGATTTTCTGGAGAAAGTTTTGCTCAAATTTGATTTTCCGCAAGGTTTTGTATTGATGATCATGTATAATCCTAGAAGCAGCTTGTAACGCCCCAACCTGACCACCCCCGAATTCTTGAGAAGTAATCATGGTCGAACGCCCGCCTGGCTCGCGTCAGGTCTCAATAAAACAGTTACATGAGGTAATCAAGAGCGGAAGTCTAACACAAAAATAAACATAAAAAGTTTTAGAGATTTGATAAACCAATGTTACAAGTCCTTATTCAAATACTTTAAATGTTATTCTTTACAACAATACAATGTCTAAGTTGCAAGGTGAATCTAACCCTCGGGTTTTAATCAGCCAGTAATTTGTACTCTCAGAATGCCAGCAGGATATAAACTTTTCTTGTTCCTGTAATAGAAAAATTATACGTTTGATGAGCGTATGCTCAACGAGGTCTCACTGTTGCCAGATTGTTAGCTTATGTGACCACGTAGTCAAACAAGTTATCACAAAAGAGAAATACAGAAAGATAGACAATAATAAAGATTATGACATGTCATACATTTATTATGTGGCTCCCTTAAGCCAGAACACACAAACATTACAATACACAAGGGTGGATACGGGTGAGTTAGGTAAAAGTTCTAGCCTGCCTAGATGGCTTCTAGGAAGAGCTTCTACCTTGTCTCAAAACTTGTCATGAAAGATGACGACACTCAGTCAATAGTTAGCGCAAACATTTTGACAACTAACGCCCCAACATTCATTCATTGAGGGTATATCTCGAGATAACCAACCTCCTAGTGATAATACCCAATATGTCCTAGCCCTGTGCCGACACGTATGGACTTACCTTGAACTAGAAGGGTGCATAGATCCATGACTAACCATTAGTAGCACGCACACATGGCAAGCAGGACTCGATATACACGTAGAAAACTCATTTACAATTTTGGCACATGTGATAAAGTACGCATGGCCACTGGACACTTAAACATTCTTAAACAATTCAATACAGCAACACTTTTCCCTTTGCATTTCATACAGATGAAAAGTTCACAGCAGGGACCACTAAACAATTCTATGGCACTCAATAAACACGAATGACCCAAGTCTGATAATTATTTCATAGGAAGACAAAGATAGCAATCACATATCCGGTGTGATAAAGTACACACACGGGACAATCACAGTATGCAATGTTACCAGTCAAGGATCAATAAAATAAATAATAGACATGCTTCTCTTATTTTATATTACTCTAGTCATTTGACATGCAGTTATATAAACAGTGAGGTTACTCACAAATATGATGAAGCGGTTTCTTGATTCCAAACACCCGCTCTGCAGGTTCATCAGAGATAGAGTAAGAATCCTACAACATAGACAATTATGAATCCCAGTTTACAGTTAATGACCATTATAAGACTGATTAAAAGTTTATGCCATTGCTGACTTACTCATATTATGTTTTAAGTACGACTTTTGTTATTGTTATTGCTATACGTATATAAATACATTTGATTTCATTTATCTCATTTAGCCCTTTACTCACTATTTTACTTTATTAGCTATTAACTTAATGCCTTAGTGTTCTGAATCTATTAAGATTAATAATAAGTTTATAACCAGAAATTAGTCCCTTGTTTCCTAAGCTATCAAATGCTTTAACCTAGGTCACTACTTGTTACTTCTTGACTCTATTATCAACTTTGGTAGTTCAAGTTTTATTGTCTTTGTACGCATATCAAACCTAACATTGCACTACCTAATATTGGTGGAATTCGCAGGAGGAAATGTACCGCC